CCACCTAATAAATTGATGTACAATTTGCAATATTAACTAATACATTTCATATTCAAAGATATCGTCATAACCAAATAATAACATAGAGAGAGAGTTAAAACATCAATTATACTATGGTTTGTGTTGTGTTTCAGATGTGATACATTCAGTCCCAAGAAGAATAACATAAAAACAAATCAATTATGATTAACCTTCTTTTTAGGTTTTTCATCATGTTGAGAAGTGAGTAAATCAGTTTCTTCAACATGCTTTATTTCTATTCAAATATTGTTTTTACAAGCATGGTAGAATTAAATGATTCATCATTTAAGTTGTTGCTTGACTTTTATTTTGATTTTGATGAGTAATATAATATTTCTCATTCTTTATATGGTTGTTTTAAGGATAGGATATCCATAATCTAATGATTATAACTCATCTCCTTTATCTCCGACACCACTTAAAAAACACCATTCATTGATAATATCATTATATTCAAATGTACATACAACAGTAACAATAATATATGCATCTTCTTTAATAAATTATAATTCTTGATAAATAATAAACCCTTAGTAAATAATAATCATTATAATTAATAATGAATAATATTATTACATAATAACTACTCATAATAAATATTAATAAATAATAACAAGTTAGTTTTGAATAGATATTATCTCACCAAAGGCATGTCATGACCAGATGAAAACTGAGATATTCGAAGGATAGAAATATTTTGTGGTTGTATGTGGTATCTGTGACATGCCATCTTCGAATCCATTATCTCAAGAATAAGAAAGAAAAATAACAAATAAATAAGAAAGAATGATTATTTGTTGTACTTTCAAATAAATAAATATTAATAAATTAATGAAATGAATAATAATGATAATAATGTAATTTAAACAAAATGAAATAAAAAGAATGATAAATAATCAACGTTTCAATGAATAAAATATTATTTAATATTCATATTTCATAAATTAATTAATTATTTCATTTATTATTCATTTTATTTAAATTATTGTTTATTTAAAATATAAACTATTCAAAATAAATTTAAATAAAAATTCATTTACTTTCTTTAAGTGGTTTTAAATTATTTCATCAAATTGTATTGTAGAAATACAATCATATCGTCTTTCTAATGATGTTCAATCATTATACATATTTATTATCTTTTTAATTATTTCTTCTTTATGATAAGTAGTTCTGATAAAATATTTTCTAGTTCTTCATGTTCAATAAATTCAATATCTTCTTTTATAAACATAAATATTTTGGTAATTTTGTTTTCTATTTATTTCTTTCTTATTCTTCTTCTTGTTGATTTTTTAGGAAGAATAATTTATTTAATTTCAGTTCTTTCAATTTCCAAATCACAATAATTAATTTTTCTATATATTTCATTCTTTTATTTCTTTGCAATTTCTTTATTTTTATTTATTTGGTTATTCCTTTCTTGTTTAATATTTTGTTCTTTTTCTTCAGTAATACTCTGATAATCAATATCTCTTTTTTTTTAACTTCTTCTACATTAATTGATGTTAATAATAGTATCATTATCATCACCCTTACAATTCCATTTTAGCTTTGTGTATTATAATAACAATATAAACATTTTGACTCATTAAATTACAATGGAAATGAATATTTTCCAGTTATTCCATTAAAAATTTCCACTAATTTTTGTTGTTATTTATCTACTTTTGTTTTCTTCTTTTCTTCATGAACTTCTTTATGGATATAGCAACAACATTTGATCAACATGATACAAACATGTCTCTAAATGTCTAATATTGGAAAAAACATTCTATATCAATTTATTCATTGTTTTATTATTTTATGAAAACCTTGATTGAAATTCAAAACAATATTAATTATTTAAATTTCTTTTTATTCTTTTTTAATATAATCAACACTATTTATTCATATATATTCTTTTCATTCTTCTGTGTCTTGTAACACAGATATAATAATAAATATATCTCATTTATCACTTTCTCATTATATTCATTTTATTTATTTAGTTTCTGATTTTGCGGTATTATTTTCTTTAAAAACATTCTTCTTCATTTTGAATTTACAAAATGTAATTTTCAACCACTTATATTTCAAAGGATAAGTAATTTAATTTATTTAATATTCATTGATTGTTGTTAGTTGATAGTCATTTTAAATAATAATTAAACATGTCAATTATTTATCAATTTGAAGAATTGAAGTTATTTATTATTAAAAAAACATTTCATTTTCATTTAAAATAAATAACTACAATTCTACATTTTTTAAATATTCTTCACAACATATTTTATTTAAATGAAAAACAACAAAATATTTTATCGAATGTTACATAAACATTATTGTTGTTTTTATTTGATTTTTACATAAAAAATATATTTTTGAAATAAAAGGAAATAGAAAATATTTAAAAATAAACGAATAAATTTATCGATAATTTAACATGACAGTTTGTTTTTGGTTATTAGTTTGAAATTCAAACATCATTAAATAAAAATAAATTTGTAATGTTATGATTAAATTAAAATGAATAAATAATTTTACATATTTTTTGAAATATATTTATTATTATAATTTTTAATTTCCATTAAACAATTATTTATTTTTTATTTAGTGACAATAATTATATTTTTATTCATAGATTATTAATTAAAATGAATGATGATAATATTGTTAAATAATCAAAATAAAAGAATGAAATATGATTAAATTATTTATTATTTCATCTTCAATAAATAAAAATATTATCAATATTGATATTTTAATATTTAAATAATGATTATTTTAACATTTTAACATTGATTATTTCTTTTATTATGTTATTTAATGTAATTTTATTTAATTTTCATTTCATTTCTTTTTATTTTAATTTCGTTTATTCATTGTGTATTTATAATAATTATTTCTTTTCTTTTCTCTTTTATTTCTTATTCTTATTTTATTATCTTATTTTTCTTTATCATTATTGTCTTTATTATAATATTTGATTGAATTAATGTTAATATAACATGAAAATAAAATTACAAACGATGAAATAATAAAAATAAAACAAAATTGAATTTTCTTCTCTTCAATTTTTTTTTTTTGTTATTTATTAAAAAAAATAAAAAATACAAAATAAAAGCTAATTATAGAAAATAACAATATTATAATTATATTATTATTATATTATTAATATTATTATATAATTATTGTTATTGTAAAAATGATAAAAATAACATTTGTTTAAAATAGAATAATGTTAAAAATAACAATTGACTTGATGTGTTAATAACGTGTATTAACTATTTAAACATTCATATTTTGAACTTATAAACATCAAATTAAATTAAAATGAATGAGGTGTATATTAAACAAATAGAAGAATTGACAGAAAAAAGAATAAATAATATACTATTTGATTCAGATAATGATAATTGGAATAGAAATACATCAGTATTTGATCAAAGAATAATGAATAAAGAACATGTGATAATTATTATTGAAGATTCAAAAGGAAATAAATTTGGAGGATATGTTAATGAGAAAATTGATAAAGTTGGTGAATGGATAAATGATTCAAAATCATTTTTATTTTCATTAGAATCAAATGGAAGAATTGAAGGAATGAAGAAATTTGATATTAAAGAACCAGAATATGCATTTTATTTATTTAACCAATCACATAAATGCTTGTTTGAATTTGGATATGGTGATATTTGTGTTTTTAAAGAAAATGATAAAACATATTCATCTTGTTATCAGCATTCATTTTCATATGAAGGAATAAGAAATGCACTTTGTGGAAAACAAATTCCAGAATGTTTCACACCAAAACGAATCATAGTAATTGAAATGAAATGATTCAATCTTGATTAATTGAAAATGAACTAAAAAAAAAGAATAAAAAACAAATCAATGAAGAATATGAACAGCTATTTCATTCATCTGCCAATGAATGAAATGGTGAATTAAAAATGGACATAATTCAATGTTGATTTATTTTATTTCATTTGAAATATTCACACCCAATGAGGGTGTTTTTAATACATAAGAAAAGAAATAAGAATGAAAGAGAAATAAAATGAAATGAATAAACAAATTATTTGTATTATTTCATTGAATTGATTCATTATGAATCAAATGAATAAGATAATAGAAATAAGAATAATAAACAAATAAAGAAATGATAAAATACATCAACATATTTATGTTATTATTTCTTATTCTTTATTTATTCTTATTCTTATTTTCTATTTAAACAGTAATAAACAAAACATAATAAGAAAGATAAATAAGAATAACACAACACAAAATAAAGAATAATAAGAATAAAATATACAACAAACAAGAATAAACAAGAAATGACAAATGATAAAAGAAGAACTAAATAAAATAACAACAAGAATAAAGAAAATAGAAATAAAATATAACATAATAATATAATAACAATATCATTGATTTTATCTTATTTTATTCTTATTTTATTTACCAAAGTTAATTTGTAATATTAAATTAAATTATGAATATTCTATTTAAATTCTTATTAGTCTTTAATCTAAAAATAGAAAAGGTATTGAGAAGAAATAATTTGAGGTATATAAACGAATAGTTTATCTGGTATAACAGAAAAAGGAATTTAATCATATATTTGTTCTATGAATTTGAAAATACAATAATGACTAATGTAAATAATATATCTTTTATTACCTTGAGGTTAATAAAATAATAATTATATGAAATTTAAACTATTTTTAGATAAAAATATTAATTTCATTATAATTCAGTAATATCTTAATAAACTTTGAAAGTAAAAAGAATAAAGTTCATCTAAGAATAGCATCCATTCTAATTATGAAAATTTAGTGCCAATTGTAATTATATCATAAGAAAAAAAAAAGAAAATTGGTTAAAATAATAATAGAACAACAAAAAAGAACTTTTTAAGTGAAATTATAAATTATTGAAACTTAAAAATTTCCAAAAAAAATACCAAAAAAAAAGAACTTATTACAATAATGACTAATAACTTGGAATATATTAAATTGAAGGAAATTTTCAGATGTTATTATCTTCAAACACCAAACTTAAGTTTGCTTAAACAAATTGCGTTAAATAATGGGTTAGATGGGTTATTACGTAAACTTGGATGGTTAACATTTCTTGATGTATTACCATTACCAATTACTCCAAGTTGGGGAAGGATATTAGAAGTTATGAGAGAGAGATATGACTATTTTATTGTGAATGATAATAAACCAACCCAATTTGATGAAATAATTGACCAAGATATAGAACGATTATATTCTGACATTGAATTTTTTATTCATCCAGAAGTAAGAAATTCAGTAAAAAGAATATGTAAAATTTTTGCTATTGAACATCCAGATGTTGGGTATCAACAAGGAATTCATGAATTAGTTGGAATTGTTTACTATGCTTTTTCAGAACTTTATCCAACAGAAAAAGCTATAAGTGCTATTCCTTTTCCTTCTGAATATGAAAATACATTTCAAATAATCATCGAAAATGGATTTACTGAACATGATACATTTACTGCTATTGAACATCTTATTGCTCTTATGCAACCAATATTTTCAAAAGGAGCAAATGGAGTGAAAAATATGTGTAATGATTTATTTAATTCTTTACAAAAATTTAATCAAAAGATATTTGATCAATTTAATGAAAATGGAATTATACCAACAACATTTGGAATTAAATGGTTACGGTTATTATTTTCAAGAGAATTTCCTTTAGATACAGTTTTAGTTTGTTTATTTTATTAAATATTTAGAATTATAAATTTATATTCAATTAATAGCAATTATGGGATGGAATCTTTGCTTTTGGGAATGGTTTAATTATTATTCGAAGTATTTTTATGTTATTAATGTTAGATTGTAGTAAAGAAGAAGAAGAAGAACAAATCCTTATGAGATTAATGCAATGTCCAACAAAAAATGTTACAAATATTCATAGACTTATTCATGAAGCAATAGTTTTTGATAAACAAGAAAGAACAATATTTCAACATTAAATCTAACAGAGTATATTGAGTTGTATTTTTTTCTTATTACTCTTTCTTTTCAAAAGAACTTAAAATATCTTATTTATGAATTCTTCATACCAACTTATTGATGAGAATGACAAAAAGAATTATCTTCCTTTAGTTATTAGTATCTTCAGTAGTCTATTCTTTATAATTTCATTAGTTTTAATAATTGTTATTTGGGGATATCCAATTACTCTTCCTGATCCAAATCAAAGTAATGAAGTAGTAAATTTTTTTAAAACAGTACAAAAACCAGTAGATGAAGTTATGAACAATGTAGATACAATCACTTTAAGTTTAAAAAGAGCAAATGTATTTTCTCAAATTTTAGCTTCAAACGTTAACGAAACAATTCTTCAAATTAATAACTCAATTCAACAAGACTATCAATTGGTGGTTATTCTTTCTGAAATTATTGAAGGCCTTGTTCAATTTATTACAAATATGAATGATTCTATACTTGGATTTATTATTGATGATGCATTTGTTGATGAAATAACTAAATTAAAACAACAATTCTATTTATTCTTACCTGAAATAAAGATGATTCAAAAATTCCTTACTGACATTAATTCAAATTTTAAAGGATTTCTTACTGTATTTGATTTTATTGCTTATAGAATGGGATTAGTACAACAATATACAAAATCCTTAAGTCATATTTTTGTATCTCTTATTAATGGAATTAGTTTATCAAATAATAAGGCTCAATTCATTATAAAAAATTGGATTTATATTAAGTCTATTCTTACAATAATTTGCTTTTTTGTATCTATAACTTCATTGACTCTTGCAATAGAAGGATTTATTCATTATCGTTCAAAATAAAATTGATTGGATTTATTTTAAACTTTCTTTTGCTTTTTATCATAAAAACATTCTTTTCGTTTATTTACATTTTTAAGTCAATTACTATTTAAAAATTATTACCAATCATCACTCCAATCATCCTCACTATCTTCTTCATTATCTTCCATATTCATGTCCTTTCTTCTATCTGATAAAATATTACGAAGTGCAGTAATAACTTCATCCTCTTCTTTTTGTCGTTCTTCTATTTCTGTTGGTTTCAAGTTATTGCTTTGTGCATATATTAAATCTGTAAATGACACAGTTGGAGCAGAGTTAGGAGACGTCATCTCTGTAGTATAAGCATCTTCTGAAAGAGGAGGTGGTGGTGGAACAAAACTAGGAACAGTTGATGGTGGTAATGGAACGGTATGAACTTCTGTAATGTCGCATTTTGGTTCTTCTTCCTTAATAATTGGTTTTGGCTCTTCCTTCTTAATAATTGGTTTTAGCTCTTCTTTTTTTTGTTCATTTGTTTGAGATGAAAAAGGAGAATTTGTATTAAGTTTAGTTCTTGGAGAAGAATTTGTAACTGAGCCATAAGTAGTTTTATACGATGAGGGTTTAGTAGTTGGTTGAATAGAATTTGTTGAATGTACAGGTTTTGGCACTGTAGAAGAAGAAGTATATGTTTTTGTAGTTGTTTTAGGATTAGAATAAGATTGGCTTTTAGGAGCAAATTGTGTAGAAGATGAAGATTTAGTGACAGAAGGTGTTTGTCTTTGTGGACCTGTTTTTTTTAGTTGACCTCTTTGTTCAGCAAAAACTTTACTCATATCAACATCATTACTTTGTTTTTGTTCAAACTTAATTGGTTTTGATGTACTAACTTGAGACTTTGAAGATGTGTTTGACTGTGAAGGTGTTATTTTTGGTTTTGTAAATTGAGGCTGTTGATAAGCTCTAGTAGAAGAAGAAGTGTGATTAATTTTATCATCTTTGTGTTGAGTGGTAGTAGAGGTTTTAAGTTCTAAACTATTTTCCTTTTTAGTTACAGTTGAAGACTTAGTTGTTTCTTTCACATTATGAGAAGTATTATAAGAAACAGGTTGAGTTGAATGGGAAGTATAAGAAGAAGAATAAGTGTGAGCAGATGTAGGTTTAGTAGAGAAGTCAGATTTTTTTTGTTCTTGTTTTTGTTTAACAAGAGTAGAGTTATTTGTAACATTACTAGTTTTAGGTTTTTCTTTTTCTTTAAGTTGCATTTTTTCATAAAATGTTAATGGTTTTTCTTGTTGTTCTTCTCCACAAAAAACCTTTGGAATCGTAACTTTTCCCCTAACTGGTGTAGTAGTATTAGTTTGTTTAGGTTCTGGTTTTTTCTTTCCAGTTTCATATGAAACGGGTTTTTGTATTGGTTGAGATTGTTTTGAATAATTTTGTTTAGTAATAGATTTAGGTTGGTCTTTAATTTCTTTCTTTGAAGATGAATTTCCAGAAGTACATTGGTTAAGAGTTCTATCCACCTCTTTCTTTTTTTGTTGTTGAATAAATCCAGGGGTAATTGGAGTTAGTGTTATGCCTTCAGGAATCTTTTTTTGTTGACGAACTGAATTTCTTAATGCACGTGCAGTACTTGGGTTATTATTAACTTCTTTTTGCATGTCATTTACTATATGAGAACTTGCCATTAACTTAAATACTTTATCTCTTGTTTCTTTATCTGATAAATCTTTCTTTCTAATTCCTGCTTTTTTAAAAAAAGCTACCCATGTAGAAGGTAAATTTTCAAATTCTATTTCTCCAGTTTTAGGATTTATTCCAATATGACTTCTTGTTACGGTTGTTGGTGGTTTAATTTCTGTTCTATGTGATTTTTTGCTCATTTGAATGAATCTTAAATTTTAATAATTCACAGTTTAGTTTTTTAGATCTTCATATTTCTATCGCTTTTTTTTAAAAATATGAACAAAAGTATTATTTTGTAAAAAAAGAATGATAAATAAACAAATAATGATTATTGAATAGCATTGCAAAGAAAGTTCATTGTTTTTCTTGAATGTTTTTTAGTTTTTTCAAAGGGAATATTTAATATTTTTGAATAACAAGAATTGAAAGCAGTTGGATGAATAAAAGTAAGTGAATTTGGAATATTTAAAATATGAAGAGAGTAACAACAAGAAAAAGAACCAGGAGAAATATATTTTAAATTTATTGGAAAGGTAAGTTGACTTAATGAAGAACAAAAACTAAATGAATAATCTTTAATAACTTCTAATAAAGGTGGTAATTTAATTTGTTTAAGAGAAGAACAATGAGAAAATGCGAAAGCACCAATATGAGTTAATGTTGAAGGAAGAATTAAATCTTTTAAAGAGGTACAATAACTAAAACATGAATCTTCTATTCTCTGAAGTTTAGAAGGCAAAGAAATAACAATGAGACTAGAACATCGACTAAATGTTTCTGTTTCTAAAGAAGTTATCCAATTAGATAAAATAACAGATGTAAGTCTAGAACAAGAAGTAAAACATTGTTCTCTGATAAAAATCAATTCTTGAGGTAATACAATTGATTGTAAATAAAAACAATTATATAAAGAACGATAAGGTAATTCTCTAAGATAAGGAGGTAATGATAATGATAATATTTTAGAAGAAGAAAAACAAGAATTACCTATTGACGTTATTCTACTACTAAGAATAATTGAATTAAAATTTGTTCCTTGAAAGCAATTATCTGCAAGGTCAGTTATAACTTCTGGTAAAATTTCATTTTTAAGAAGAGTACTTGTTGATAAAACAATTTTATTAAAATGAATAAAATTATCTTGGTTTAATAAATAATTACTATAACTATAACTAAACCATGCTATTCTTTTTTCTACATTTTCTTTTATTTCATCAAAATATGAAAATACATATTGTGTTTGAATATTTGGAAATAGTTTATCTACTTGTTTATTATATAGTATTGGATTAAAATGAAACATTAAAGGTATTTCTTTAAGTTTTTTACATACAATAATTCCATTATAAAAGTCATTGATATTATTAAAATATTTCATAACAATCATCATTGAATATCTATCTAATTGTTTCATATCTTAATATTATTTTAATTTAACAATTTTATAGTTCTTTTTTAAAAAGAAAATATCTTTCATTAAATGATTTATTTTTAAATAATTTAATATTTCACATAATTTTATTAAAAAATTATTCTTTATATTTTTTTTTTAATGAAATAAACCAAATTTAAATTTATTAAAATAAATCATTTTTAATGGATTTTCATTTTACTAACTTTTAGTTTCAATTGTTCATATTTGGCTTTAAGTTCATTAATTTCATTTGTTAAAGAAATAATAATATTTTGTTCTTCACTCAATAAACGTACAACTTCTTTTGAACTTTCTTTGTCTAATGTTTCTCCATTATCACTTCTTGGAAGAGGTTTAGAATTGACAATGTTAAGCATCATTTGGACTTTCTTTTCTGTGTCTGTAACATCAATCTTACCTAACAACTCTTTAAATTTTTGTAATACATCAGCATCGGGGTCTCCATCTCTAGTTAATACAGCAATAATTTCTTCATCCATCTTTAATGCATGTTCTGCCATAGATTCATATTTCTCAATTATTTGTTCTTGAATAGATTTCATTATATCTTGAACATCCTTTTGTAATTTAGTTAATTCACTTATTAATTCTACTTGTCGTTCATCTTGATACTTTGATCTCATTTCAAGTCCTTTAAAGAAACATATTTCAATTTCCATTAAATCAGGTTCTCCTGGTACAGGCTTTACCGTTTGTGTTGTGTTTTGATTTTGTTGGTTTTGGTTAAAACCAAATCCTCCACTTGATGATGTATTAAATCCTCCAAATGATGATAATCCAAATCCACTACTTGTTGAAGATCCTAATCCAAATCCACTACTTGTTGAAGATCCTAATCCAGTTGAAAGTCCAGTTGAAGATCCTAATCCAGTTGAAAATAGACTCGTTGATTGTTGTTGTGTAGGTAAATTTCCTCCACACTCTTTTATATAATTTTCAATGAATTTTCTTTCTGAGTCATTTTGAGATACATTCATTTTTAATTTGAATGGTGTTACTTGTGAGTTTGTATAAGATGCAAGAATTTGTGTGAGTCGAATGACACTTGGGTCAGTTGTCATATTGAATTGTTAAGATTGAATAAATGTTGAAAAGTTCTTTTAGGTTTTTTTAATTATTTCACAACTCTTTTTGTGAATCTTTTAACATTTAAAAAAACATTTAAATAAATAAAAATGTTATAAATACAATAAATATAAAAATTATATAACATTTTTAATTAAAATAAATTTCATTAAAATTATAAAGATTCAAAAATCTTAAAAATCTTGACGTTAAGTAATGAGGAAACTTGTTTAGCAACAATGAAATTGAATGGTTTAAAATCAACAAAGCCGGATTAAATCTGCGAAAAAGGTACGTGGACTTTCGTCAATCCTCCATATAAAAACGTTGTGTTCAAGTATAAATTCATTACAAAAGATTATGGCTGAAGCATTATTTAAACAACTTGATGCTAATGGTGATGGTTCTGTTTCATACGAAGAAGTAAAAGCTTTTGTTAGTTCTAAGAGACCAATTAAAAATGAGCAACTTCTTCAACTTATTTTTAAAGCCATTGATATTGATGGAAATGGAGAAATTGATTTAGCTGAATTCACCAAGTTTGCAGCTGCTGTTAAAGAACAAGACCTTTCAGATGAGAAAGTTGGTTTAAAAATCCTTTATAAACTTATGGATGCTGATGGTGATGGAAAATTAACTAAAGAAGAAGTTACTACCTTCTTTAAGAAGTTTGGTTATGAAAAAGTTGTTGACCAAATTATGAAGGCAGATGCTAATGGTGATGGATATATCACTCTTGAAGAATTTCTTGCATTCAATCTTTAATTGAAATACATTCCTTTTAAATTCATTGTTTAAATAAACTTATATTTCTGGAATAAATTAATTATCCTCCATGAATAGATGAAATTAATGAAATAACATCTCCATCATGAACTTCTGAGTCAAGCATTCCTACTAATTCCCAATCTGCATCATTAATTAACACAATAATACCAGGTATTCTGCATTTTATTAATTTTCTAAGTAATAATTATTTAAACAAAACACAAACACAGACTCTTCTGTAAAAATTGGAGCAAGTCCTGTTTGAATCTCTTTAATTTTATGAATAACATCTCTCATCGTTTTGATATTTCCTATTTCAATCTCAAAGTGTGTAGTTTTTGCATCGTATTCTAACCCTCCACTCAATTCAATCTTAACTACCATCTCGGTTGTTATTCTGAATATATTTTTCTTTTTTTTATTTTTATTTGTTTTTTTTATATATAAATATATTAATTTTTTATTAAATTTCCTTTTCTATTCAAATCTATCTTTTGAAATAAAAATCGTATAATATTAAACTATTAAAACTTGTTAAAGAAACTAACATTTATAAACTTCTCTAAGTATTTAAAATTTCCTCCATACGTCGTACCTATTCACAATTTTTAAAGACCAAAATAATGACCAAAAACAATTAATTTGTGTTATTAGTATTTTTTTTCTTTATAAAACAATTTTTTTATTGTTTTTTTTTTGAAAAAAGAATATTATGTTTTATTTTTTTAGAAAAAAGATAAAGGTATTAATATCTAATTCTAAATATCAATTATTAGAAAATGATGTGATAATACAAATAATAATAATGTAAATGTATTTAATTTCTTCATATTTTTAATACATTTGTATTTACTGTAAGAAATTTCATAGAATAAATTATTTTAAATGACTGAATAGAAATATTCAAGTGTAACACTAAAAGTTCCAATTTATTAACACAATAATTAAAAAGACAAATACTGTCATATTAAATAATTAAATATATTTTACATTATAAAAAAAACTATGAATTAGTATTTAAGATATAAAAGTCATTAGATCTTTCATTAAAATTTTAACGCTATATTCACAAAAATAATAAATAATAACTATGAAATGAAGTAATTAACTAATGACCAAATTGAGTGTTATTAGCTACTTTTTGAAGTTAGAATAATTCTCACAATAATGGTTTTATCATTCATTCAAAAAACAAAATGTTATTTATTTCATAAACTCAAAAATAAAGAAGAAATGAAATCAAAAAGAGAAAAAAAAAGAACTTAAAAACCATTTTAGAAAGAAAAAAAAATGACATTAAATATTGAACAATTTCCACCAAATATAAAAACATATTTAAAATTAGCTCAGTCATTTGAAAATACTGACCCAGTCATTGCATTTCATTTCTGTGTGAAAGCAAAAACATTGACTGAAGAACAGTATCAAGGAGAAGATAAAGAACTAAAAAGTTCACAAATAGATTTATTAACAAATGTCATTGAAAATAAACCACAATTTATTCAATTTAAAGAGTCAACTAAATCACCAGCTGAATATTTGTTAAGAAAAGCTGTTATGTTATTACAAAATTCTGACAAACAATTAAAAGAAAAAGGTCCATCATTGTTTGTTAGGTATTATCAATTTTTTAATTACAATAATTATTCAATTAACTCTTTAACAAATTAGACAAATAGGAAAAACATTTCTTGTTTCATCTTATTTATTTGATTTATATGAATTATTTTTCCCATTAAATGATACCAGTAAAAAAATGCAGACATACGCTAAAATCAAAGCTAATGAATGTACTAAATTAAAAGAATCTTTTTCTTCTCCTATGATGGAAGAACCTGTTTCTATTCCTGATGATAATAAAACAATCCATTATATTACAGAAGAAAAACCTATTGACCAACCTGCTTCTACTCCACTTATTAATCAACAAAATGTATCTCAATCTAATCAACAACCAATCAAATCTTTTGAAGATAAGAAAAGTGATTACTCACAATCTCCACTTCAAAATCATGTCATTTCATCAAATCCTCAAATTGATATTTCTAAATTATCTCTTTTAGAAAAACAAAATTTAGCTGAAAAATATATCCAATCTGCAATATCTTCATTAGATTTTCAAGACCCTAAAACCTCAGCACAGTATCTTCATGCGGCTTTAGAATTATTAAATTAAATTTTTAATATTTTTTATATATTTTTTTTTTAATATATTTTGTAACTATCAAATAAACAAAAGTAATGAATCTTTTAAATAAAAAATTAAAAGAGAATTGAAATTTAAATAAATTAAAAAGAAAAGAAAAAGTAGTTAATTAAGTATTAATAGAATTTTCATCTATTCTTCCTAGCTCAGGGGAGACTAATCCCATCCCTGAGCTTATTAAAAAAGAGTAATCTCTTTGTTAAACCTATTCTTTATGTTTTTCTTGCAAAATGAGGAAAGCACTTCTTTGCTTTATTTCTTCCTATTAAGGTTTTTCAAACTTCTTCTGCTTATTTCTTCTTTTTAAGCCTTTGTTTGTTTTCTGCCTTAATTTTCAGGAATTTCATTTTTCTTATTTTATGAATGGGAGAAGGAATCATTTTATTACTACTGTATTACTTTGACTAATCTTCTTTTTAGTCTTACTTTGACTAATCTTCTTTTTAGTCTTACTTTGACTAATCTTCTTTTTAGTCTTACTTTGACTAATCTTCTTTTAGTCATACCCACACTTCAGTATATTCTTATATTACATCCACGTAATATTCTACTGTATTCTCTTGCTGCACCCTTTGCAGCATTCCCTAATACATTCCTAATTCAAAGGCACCGTCATAACCAGATAATAACTGGGAGAGTCGAAGTATGAATTTGTACTAGGGTTTGTGTGTGGTGTTTCAGACGTGCCACCTTCGATCTAATAAATTAAAAAGAAAAAAAAAATAAAAAGAATAATATTGAAACTAATTCCATTAACAGAAAAAGTTTTTTTAAACTTTTTTTTAATTGAAATTTAACGTTTGAAAAATGAAACTAAAAAAGAATAAAAATTAAAAATTAAGATATGAGTTTAGAAACAATTCAACAACTTATTAATGAATATCATAGGGTAAATGCTGTACAAGAAAAAGATCCACATAAAGAAGAAAATATGATTTTTTATGTAACTAAAGAAAGAGATATTTATAGATTAATAACAGAACAACTTAGACAAATAATTCAAAAAAAAACAGAAGAAACACAAATATTAAAAAATCAATTATTTAGATTTGAAGAACAATCAAAAAAATTAATTGGAGAAGCGGAAAATCAATGGAATCTTGAAAATAAAAAATCTTCGGTTTATAATGAAAAGTCATATGTCCTTAAACTTCAAGAAGAAAAAGAAGAAAAAATAGCTTCTCTTGAGGCATTAATTAAAGAAGGTAAAACTGTAATTGAAAAACAAAGAAAAGAGTTATTAAAAATTCATGACAAAGCATTTGCTGAAATTAATTTAAAAATGAATGAAATTTATGCATCAATGCCACAAAATAGTTATAAAAGAGAACAATCTGAAAGATATCTACAAAGAAATAAAATTATTTCTGAAGGAATTGAAATGAGAGAAAAAAAAATGGCTAAAGAAATAGATGCCACGTTTATTAAATTTATTAAAAAAGATGAAATTACACCAAAAGATTCTTCTAGTGAACATCAAATAACTAAACAATTTAAAACATTAAATAAAACAACAAAAGAAAGTATTATTAAAGAAGAAAATGAAAGTAAAAGAAGAGGTAGTACTCCTATTAATTATTGTTTAGATAAATCAAAACAAGAAAAAGAAAAAATAAATAACCAAATAACAGAATATAAACCGTTAAATATATTAACAGTTGAATTCCCTTCATTAACCTCAAAAATAGAAAATTATTGGGGCTATTTTCCTTTAAAAGAAGGATTTGGAACACCACAACTTTTTGATATAAATGGTAAATGGATTAAATGTTCTGGTAGTAATGATAAAGGAACATTTCTTTATCCTAAAGAACCATGGTGGGATGGATATTTTAAAAGTGAAACTGAAGAAGAAATTTCAAAATGGATAGGAATGGATTCAAATTTACGTGTTGTTTTCTTAGCTCTTAAAGAATTTGACTCAATGCCATTAGAATTTAACCAATACCCAAAAGGTGATGTAGGACTATTACTTCGTTGGAGTGATGGAGAAATTAAAGACATTATTCCTAGGGGATATGCGTTTCCTAATTCAAATACTTGTACAAAAGAAAGAGCAACAAAGCTAGTCAAATCATACTTAAAATATGCAGTTCAAATGTATCCAATAACAAAAAAAGTTGAAACTGAAATGTTGCAATTTGAAGAAGTAACTACTCCAAAAAAAATTAGTGTTGGGGTTGTTTGTTCTAATGGATTAACACAATGGAAAGAAGTAACTGAAAATAGAGAATGTGATGATAAATTATTTGAGTTTCTTGGAAATATTGGAAATGGTATTGAATTATTAAATTTTAATGGATATAATGGTGGGTTAGATACTACCACAACTACAGTTGATGGACGTTATTCAGTTTATTCAAGAAAAGACTGTTTTGAAATAATGTATCATGTTGTCCCATTACTAACAGAAAGAAGTGCAACCAAATTATTTAATCAAGAGAATATTATTATTGTATTTAAAGAAGGAGAAGAAAGAATTAAATTGTCAAATGTTCAATTTAGAACTCAAGTTATTATTGTTGTAAATCCATTACCTTCTTCAAACTATAGAATAGAAGTATGGTTAAGAGGAAGTTTAAAAGAAGTTGAAATGTCTTTACCTAAAGATGACTATATTGTATCTAAAAAATATTTAAAAGAGTTCATGATGTCTATTATAATTAATGCATCTTATACTACTTCAATTAGTGGTGTATTACAATCTTCTTGTAGTAGAGAACGTTCAAATGCATTAAAAGCTATTTATGAGAAAACGTTGGGAAATAATAAACATAATTCTTCAATATTCTAAAAATTTCCTTCTTATTAAAATTAAAAATAATTTATTTAGTACACATAATATTTTTCAATTATTTTCTATGTTACAAAATACTCATTCAAGTCCAATAAGATTTACTAACTAAATCTATATATAAAATTACAATGAACCTTCAAGATCATTTTAAATCTATTTCTTTTTTCTATATGAATCTTATTTTTCTTTTATCCCTCAAATTGGACAATACC